CAGATATTTGTTATATTTTACATTCTCTAAAAAAATTTTTTTAAATGTTTATTTTTGAGAGTGTGCATACGTGAGAGAGTGCCAGTGGGGGAGGGGCAGAAAGAGAGGGATACAGAGGATCTGAAGTGGACTCTGGGCTGACGGCAAAGAGTCCGATCGATGCAGGGCTCGAACTCACGTACCATGAGATCATGACCTGAGCCAAAATTGGACACTTAACCCAACAAGCCACCCAGGTGCCCCTGTATCTTTTAATTTTGTGCTTCTCTTGACTGATTTTAGATATACTTGTTTTTGCATTTGTGCTCCCTATTTTCCTTACCCTTGCTTATGGTTTTTGTTTTCCACTCAGATCCCTACCTTTCTTATAGGGCTGGTTTAGTGGTCATGAATTCATTTAACTTTTGCTTGGGAAACTCTATCTCCCCTTCTATTCTGAATGTTGGCCTTGCTGGTATTCTTGGCTGCAGATTTTACCCTTTTAGCACTTTGCATATATTGTGCCACTCCCTTCTGGCCTACAAAATTTCTCCTGAAAATCGGCCAATAGCCTTATGGGATTTCCTTTGTAACTGTCTTTTCTCTTGCAACCTTTCAAATTCTTTATTATTATTATTGTTATTGCATTTTAATTACTATGTGTCTTGGTGTGAATTTCCTTGGGTTGATTTTGTTGGGGGCTCTCTGTGCCTCTTGAATCTGAATCTCTGTTCGTCTCCAGATTGGGAATTTTCAGTTTTTATTTCTTCAAATACATTTTCTTCCCTCTCTTTCTCTTCTGGGATCCCTATAATGTGAATGTTATTAGGCTTGATCGGGTCACTGAATCCTCGTAAGTCTGTTCTCATTATGCAGTATTTGTGTTTCACCTGTTCAGCCTGATTGCTTTCCATTACTGGATCCTCCAGGTCACTTATACATTCCTCTGCTTCCTGTAGCCTACTGTTTATTCCATCTATTGCATTTTTATGTATTGCATTTATTATCTCTGATTTTTTTTTTTACCTCTTTGTCAAGGGTCTCACAGATTTCCTTCACCCTTTTCTGAAGTCCAGTGAGTATCTTTATGATCATTAATTTCTGAATCATATTACTTGTTTCACTTGGATCTCCTGCTGTGATTTTTGTCCTTTTGTTGGGGACATAGCCTGTGTCATTTTCTCTACCTCTCTGTTTCTGTTAGAGGAGTTAGCCACATCTTATGCTTTTGAAATTAGTCACTTTATGAAGTAGGGGTCTTATAGTCCTCTGCAGTACAGTGGCCCCCCCCCCCCCCATTCACCAAAACCTGGAGCTGCAGGAAGTCTCGTGTGTTGCTTGCATCCTGCTAATTTTAATTTGTCTGGGTCGCTTTTTAAATCCAGACGTCTGTACTGACTCTGCCTGTAGTGGGCTGTGCTTGCTCTATGTGGTGTGAGACCCAGGCAGCAGTGTGTCTAAATTTGCGCTGAGCAGCTGCTAGTCTTTGGCTAGATCCCCCAAAGTGCAGTGGCCACCTGGGCATGTTGTGTGGTGGCTGGGAGCACATAGCATCTGCGTGTGGTATTAACAAAACTTGCACGGAGGCCAGCAGGCTTGGGGTGGGTGAGTCCTCAGAACTCACGGGCTGGTCCCACTCCTAACTGGTTAGGTAGTATCTGTGCAGGGCCACCTCCTGCAGGTGGCTTTGTATTTATGCTTGGGGGATGGGGGAGGAATAACGGCACCTGCTACTTTGTTCCTAAAGAAGGAATACGCTCCCTCCTGTTTCTTCCACACATTGTGCAAAGTGTCAATTCTGTGGTGCTTCTCCAACAGCTGTTGTCTTTTTAAGGGCAGGGACCCAGCTATCACTTGCCTTCCTTGGCCCGGTGCTGAACCAGCTGACTTTTACAGCTCTATGCTCCAGGTCCTGTTTGTTATACAGTCACAGAATTAAGTGCCGTTTTCAAAGCCAGTCATTTTGGGGATTCTTCTTCTCCATGGGGGTTCCCTGGTGCTTTTCCCTGTCTTTGCTCCCTCTCCTGCAGGCAGCTCCTGACCATTTCTGCCTTTTCCTCACCTCTCAGATGTGGCTGCTTCTCTACATTTAGTGTTTTCTGTCAGTCTTCAGATTGCTCTTTGGTTTATTTACTCAGATGTGAGTGATATCTAGTTGTAATGTGGGATAGGGTGATCCTAGGGACCTCCTATTCTAGGGCCATCTCTACTCAGTGATTACGTCACTCTTAATGCAGAATATATTAGTCTTCATTTTTGTTTCCTGTATCTCCTTAATCAAATCTACTCTCATATCCTGCTCTATTTCCTTAGATTCATGCCTCTTTATTTACTGTTTCAAAAACTAATGGTTTTAACCCTGACTGCACATCTGAGGCACCTTGGAAACTGTAATACTGATTCCCAGGCCTCATCACTAATAAAATCACCCTTTGGGTGTGGCAGCCAAATCATCAGTCTGCTTACATGTCTTCCCAGGTATTTCAAATGTACAGAGTTGAGCACTGAAGCAGACTGTGCATTCAATGGTTCTCAACTGGGGGCAGGTTTGTTGGGATCAATTTAGGACACCATGTTAAATGTTTTTTTCAGATATGCATTTTGTTCCCTTCCCATCCTTCCCCCCATCCAGCAAGGTCTTCAGATTTTTTTTGTCATGACCAGGAATTGCTATTGGCATCTAGAGAGTAGAGGTCAAGGATGGTGAACATCTTATAATGCACAGGCCAGCTCCTACAACAATCACCCAGTTCAAAATGGCTTTAGTGTAGAAATAGATAAAACCTGCTTTGGAGCAACATGAAAACCAGTTGTAAGAAGAGGAAATAGATTTGGAACTAAAAGCAGAATTCTGTTTAAATGTAAGGATTATATTGATGTTACAAGTGACAGAAGTCCAAAAAAGAAATGAAAGTTTTATATTTGAAGCCAGAGAACTGTTTGAAGTGTAGTATCTGTAATTGAAATTTTTAGATAGGTTTCAATACATTTTCAAAGAAATGCAGAGCATGCAGAGTTCAACAGAATGAAATTTGAAGTTTCTTTATCTATGAAATGTGGCAACAGTGTTAACCTGAAAGTTCTTTTGGTTTAAATTCAACAACTCTTTGATATTTTTAATCAGTTAGTAAACTTGACAATGACCATGAAGAGCCAAAATAGAAATACATACACACACTATATATATATATATATGTACACACTGGAATCACTCCAAATTCCAGTGCTGGGTTTTAATACTAGTTGTGTAACCCGATGCATGCTCCTATATGTTCCCATTTTGTCTATTACCAAATGAGGGACGTGGGTCAGATGATTGGAATGACTCCTTCCCACGGTTAACATCTATATAAAAATTCCTCAGTTCTGGTCAAAATACAAATTTCACAACAAAACCTATTTCTCAGCGATAGGTCTAAATTTCAAAGGCTCACCATTTTAAATAGCAAATTTATATTTAAGATGGATAATTTTATGGATTTCTTTATGGGGTTCATTGAATAAGTGAAAAATGATCAAACTGATATGTTTTTCTTATTGCAGTCCATAAAAGTCCACTACTTTCTACTATTTATCAGTAAGATTCTCTTGGATTATATTTCCCAAAACTGAATCTTACCAGTAACATTTCTGAAAAAAAAATTTAACTGGCAGTTACTGCTTCTCATGTTGTTTTTGGAAACTGTTACAAAGCAACATGATAAAAGAAGCCTTGGCACCCCGCACACAGTACAGAACCACAGCCCGAGGATCTTTTTAACCAGTAGATGGCACTTCCTGTTAAAGCCAGTGTTGATACTTCAAGAGAACATGGCTCAAACAATGGTGCAAGGTGGGAAATGCCTGAATAAGTAACATGCACATTAGAAACAGAGTGCTGCAAGGCCATGGACCAAGTAATTATTTTTTTGTGGGAGCTGTCCTTTGCACTGTAGGATGTTTAACAGCATCCCTGGCTTCTACCTACTAGATGTCTAAAGTAGCACCCCTTCCACTTTGCCTGCCTCAAGTTGTGACAAAAATATCTCCAGACATTGCTAAATTTCCCATGAGGCAAAACTGCTCCAATTCAGAACCACTGAGAAGTCAAAAGCTATGCAAACAGATTTATAATTATACATAAGGATTAAATCTCCTATTGCTGAGTGAAAGCCAGACATAAAAGTGAACATACTATATATATAGTTTCATACAAATAAAGCATGAAAACAGACAAAACCAATTTATGCAGCAGGTGAGAGGAGGAAGAGCCAGTAATGTTCTGTCTTGATCTGGGTGCTGCTTACATAGATGAAAATTTACTGAGCACTTATGATAGGTGCACTTTTTTGCATATATACTTCAATAAATATTTTCCACAATGCTAGGCTATATATGGTATACTGCTTTGCATTTTTCATAATGAATGAAAACTTTGTAGCCATTTCTCTTTGAATCAACACTTACATGTTAGCTAAGCAGAGTTCTAAATCAAGGTGTGAACTAAAGTTTATCATCTCCATGTGTTCCTTTTAAAAAGTCACTTAATTGAAAAATACAGAAAAAATCCAATTCACTAATTGATTTGGTAAAAGTTACTTGGTTCTCCTGAGATTGTCTCTATTCCTATAGGCAAAAGCCACACAAATCTATGATGATGCTATGTTTAAAATGCTGTAAAAAGCCACAAATGAGGCATTTCTGTAAAGTATCACAGTTTCTATCTCTTGCTAAAATGGAGAAATATATTTCATTTAGCTGCTGAGGCAAATTTTGTCAAAACAAACTACATTTATCTGCCTCCAGGAGTTAGGGATTCTTTTTTTTTTAAGTATTTATGAGATTCATATTGTAGTATTACCCTTATTCTTCTTTTCCTGTACAGACACTACTTCAAAGTAATACACCTGTACCATAACACTTAACAGGTAATAAAGAAAACTTAAAGCTACAATGAATCTAGAATTCTCAACTGCATTTATTTAAAAACCACATCTTTTAAAAGAACTAAAACTTAAAAATATTGCAATGAAAAAACAGACTGTCATAACCAAATGTGATTTATTTTTAGAGAAAAATAACAGGTTTTTCCAATAAAGGGAAGAAATAACAATATGAGATCATGTCCTGATTACATGTTAATTACCACATCCACATCCACGGATGTGGTCAACATGTACTCAATGATAATATGAATGAACATTTGAGATTTAAAAATCACAAACCACTTGCCAATGCTGTAAACCCATAAATGTTGAAATAAATACCCAGAAATAAGTAAATTTTAAAAATTTAAGCTTTTGAGTGTTTACAGATCAACCCAAATGTTATGTACAAATAGTACTGCCAGTAAGCTGACACTGCTGTTAGTTTCCACCTAATTTCTTCATAATATGGCTATCTGGTGTTGCATTAGTGAAGATACTTCCCACAAACACATGGGTACCCCAGAGACTATGACGAATCACTTTACAGCAGCCAAGATCATCCACAGAGAATCCTAAATGTCGATAGCGTTCATCTGTTTCAAAAAGAGTGTTGTTTGTATATGATCCAAAAAACTGGAGGAAATAAAAATCATATTCATTAGCAAGAAAGGCAATGATGTAACAGTTTTTATGCAAACATGAATACGTATCTATTTTAACACCCCAAATATTAAAAAAAAATCAAATAAAAAGGGCAGTTTAGGTACTGCATGTGACCAAACACCTCTTCATCTAATACTTGTCCTGGAAATGTGAAACCAATAATCTAGCAAATACACGTTATCTAGAACCAAACATCTAGAATTAAACTAAGTTTTTCATTTCTAGTCTACACTACATGTTACTTTTTGAAAATAAGCTACAAAAAATTTCATTTTTACCTGTAACTGAAAGATACACCCAGAATGTGGGTGACAATAGCGGTTCTTATTTTTTCAAAGTATAATTTCGGAAAAGTAATTTTTTGGAAGTTAACATTTATAAATATTTAATAATACCCATATTTTAATTCTAAAAGTTTTTCTTCCTTAAGCTATGCTAATTTGTAACTGTCAAACAGTAAACACACTAATTCATTAATATAAATCAAATAGTATTTATTAGAGTAAAAAATAATAAAAAGTGATAGTGGTCCCTCAAAGGTTGTGAATGCAACTGACTCATAGTGGCATTCTCTGGGTAAAATTGTGAGGTTAAAACAAAAGTCTTAAATCATCTATTTCTACCAAAGTTATAAACAATTTTATATTGTAAATAGTTTTACAATAAAAAACATTCCTACTTCAAATTAATCTGGCTTTCAAAATGTAATTACTCACTGCCAAACCAGATGATGGGTCAATAAAGTCAGCCCAATAGCCTTCAGCTCGAAGAGCGTAGCAAATTTCCTTAGCACCATTAATGAACTGCATTAAAAAAAGACACAAATATGCTGAAGATAGCATCTCTGTGGGTTTTAGTTTTTAACAAATTTTTAAATATCTTTTGCTTCAGAGAATTGGATAAGATTATAGCGTAATTTATCATTAGTTGTAGATTTTTACCAGTCCAAAAGACTGATGGTTCATTTAACACTTTTACTTCCTTCAAAAAGTCTAAATTGTGTATTTTTCTTCTAAATTACTTCCTGTTTTATGAAAAATTTCTAATCAGTTCTGTGCTGTTAACTCCCAAATTTGTCATGAATTAGAAAATATAATTGCTATTTTGTATTATAGTGTAAGAAAGGGAAAACAAAATATTCATAATGAAAAAACATGAACTTGAACATATTCATTCATATGTTAAAAATGTGTGTCTTTCAAAAACACATCTATCCATACTCATGGTCATGATACACATTATACCTTTCTGTATTTTTTGTACAGGACATAATTATTACAGACCATGTGTCTGTAAATCTTATTCAAAATCTTGGTCTTTCCATTCTCATTTGTAATTCCTATGATGTCTTTATTAGCTTTATCAGACTAAACAGTGAAAAAGTAACAAATATTAGGACCAGATCAGAGTGTTTAAAAAAAGAAAAAAAGGACAAACCATGAATGTTTAAAAACAAGGGCACAGTTCCACTTTCGGCCATTAACAGAATAACAGATGCCAAACATTATCTGCTATTTGGTGAACACCTGCTAAAAGCTGTAAAACAGACTAAAATGTAAGATACAACAGTTTTAAATCCTGAATAATAATTAAAACTGTAATCTTGTGGAGAAGGGCAACAAGTCAAGTGATTTCCATATTTGTTCCAGCTCTCTGTCTGGAACACTGTTTGTCACAGGGCAAAGAAGAAGATCCCAAAGTGATGGTGTCACTAAGCCAAGGAGGTAGAAAGCAAAAGTTCTGGACTGCGGAAGTATCTTGAATTTGTGGGTTAGGGTACTGGAAGAAAGATGCACACTGGGGTTCTCAAGCAGTCCACAGAGCAATTCACCCTGGTTCAGTAGCCAAGGGCAGAACTGTGCACTCACAAGGTGAGATTTCTTGAGGAATCTGTCTCACAGAGAGTGCCAGCTGGGGCCTGAGAGCTCAATGGTGTTATCAGGGTTGTGCAGTCCTAGGTAACATGGATTTCTGGACAACACAGGATGATCAGACCTTGCTGAGCACATCTGGCATTCAGCTGAGATGCCCAAACGTCTAAGCCTTAGGAAGATGGGCCATATCCTAAAATAAGAGGTTAGCAATTTACAGCCTGAAGGCCAAATCCAGCTGGGTGCCTGTATGTGTTAACAGTTTCATTGGAATATATCCATATCTGTCTATGACTACTTTAACAATACAAGGGTAGACACTATGACCTATAAAGCCTAAAAATTTATTATGTGGCTCTTCACAGAAAGTTTGCTGATCCATGCTACAGAGGAAACTTAAGCTAACTTTCTCCCAGCACTTTCTTGTAAAATAATGAAAAACATTAAATAAAAATTGTATTCTTTAGGTTATTTTCACACTTAATACTTACACATATTACTGCATTTCATTAATCCTATTTCTTAGGAAAACTACTGAATATGGTCTAGAAAAGTAATTAAAAAGTATATCAATGAACAGATATATTAATATAATTAATATAAAAAGTATATTAATGAACAGTATATTAATGAACAGATCTGCCATACACAAAACTACAAGGAGAACAAAACAATACAAACGTTTGTAAAAGTTAACTAAAAGAATCCCAAAGTATCATAAACAGAATCAGTTTAAGTATTTCTCTTTAGATTTCTGCACATCAACAGCAAACACTGACATCTGGTGGAAAAAAACTACAACAGATTTGAACAAGAGAACTGGACAGTCAACTATGTGTGGTTCTAAAATAACCACTAATGTATCTAAAACAGAAATTTTTTTTTGTAGAAAATAGCTTTAATCATTATAAAATTAAAAATAATATGGCATTTCAAAGCCCTGAAACTGGTTACAAAAAACTCACAACTATACTGGGGTCAGTATCAAATGAGGCTCAGAATCTTTAACTGATGAGAAATTAGGACCAATGATTCAATGCACATGTGAGAGCTCTCTAGTGACTAAATGATAGTAATGGTAAATGTATATGTTAGATACTGCCTTAATATGTAAATAGAAAATGTCTGAGTTATTGTCTATTTAAATTTCAACTCTCTAAATTCAGATCTCTTTAAAATCAGATAATGTCTTAAGGCCTGCCCTCTCTGTAACTTCCTTGTTAACTAGCATATAACTTGCTCATGATTATTACTACATAAAATTTAATTAGCAAAGCTGTATATGGGACATTTTAGTATGATGAAGTCATTATCCTAAAACATTCTGTTGAGTATGTGAATTATAATTTACTAATGAAAAGAACCATACATCCAGTCATAAGGAAAATATAAAATAATTCCTAATATCTTACATGAAAATTAGTAAAGGAAATTTTTTCAATTATAGTTAGCTAAGGCGCCTAATGGAGTTAATCTTGACTTGTCACTCGGGCAAAGAAATGTTTTCCTGTCTTGTAGAAACTGATATAACCCAACATCAAACTCTTAAGACTTTAAGTTAGCATTTACCATTTTTCAGGTTGGTGAAAATGAAAAGAAACGCTAATATTCTGGGTAAGCTAGCATGACAGGATATATACAAGGAGAATCTTTTTTGGTGGGCAAATTGGCACCATCTATCAAAACTTAAATTACCCACGGATTCAGTAATTCCCTACTTAGGAATCTACCGATTTTATATTTGGGCATACATGTTTATGCACATACTTTTCACTGCCTATAATAGAAAAAGTTTTTTAAATTTATAAGCTACTAAGGGAATTTTTAAAGTAATTAAAAATTTATAGTTTGCCCATGCAATTTTATGCAGATTTTACATAGTATGAAATCTATGTGTAATGCTATGGAAGGGTGTCAAAGCACCTGGTTAAAAGGACAGGAAAAAAAATATGGGTCTATAATATGTTATCACTGTGCTGCATGTAGTTACTGATTACTCCTTGAAAACTGGAGTAATTTCCACTTTTTATTTGACATGTTTTAAAAACAATTTTTTTTTAAGGTTTAATTCATTTTTCAGAGACAGAGTGTGAGGCCGGAGTGGGAGAAAGAGAGGGAGACACTGAATCTGAAGCAGGCTTCAGGCTGAGCTGTCAGCACAGAACCTGATGCAGTCCTTTAGTACTGAAATATATTAGCAGAGAATAAAGGCTAAAAAGACACCCATCACCTTAAAATGTTGGTATTTAAATAAGATTATAAAATTGTCAGCAATTGAAAATGTGTTTTTTTTTTTTTTTTAATGTTTATTTTTTTTGAGAGAGAGAGAGAGAGAGAGAGAGAGAGAGAGACCACACATAAGTTGGGGAGGGGCAGAGAGAGAGGGAAAGAGAAATCCCAAGCAGGCTCCATGCTATCAGCAGAGAGCCTGACATGGGGCTAGGGCTCATGAACTGTGAGATCATGACCTGACATGAAACCAAGAGTCAAGACACTTAACTGACTGAGCCACCCAGGAGTCCCCAAGAATTACCTTTTCTAAAAGCATTTCTCTTTCATTTTCTACCTCTTCGCTCCAAACAGTCATATCATTCTTGGTTTTCTGTGTTATAGTCAGAATCATTAGTTTGTTGGTGGCTACTTCTGGAAACAGTGACTCAAAATCTATAAATAACAATAAAAATTTCAGGGAGAATTTGCTGTAAGAAGCGGTGAAAAAAGTACTTCTTTAGAAACATGGTGATTAAGTTAAATTATTGTGATACCAAGTTGGATTTATAAATGCACATTATTTTTGGAATGGATACTGAAATGAAGTTTTAATTAACTTCAGCTTTTGGATGGGCTGAAATATTACTATCAATTCTGAAGAGCAAGTAAAGGTTACTTGTTATTGATCTTACAATTTTCAAAAAAAGTTTATTACGATTTTTCTCAGTATTATGTATTAGCTCAAGAAATTACAGCTGTAATAAAAAGGAGAATAACTTCAGTGAAAAAGTTACTAAAAATTCTATTCTTATCTAATGCCAGCATGAGGTCAGATGTCAGGGGACATTTGGAAGACCTTACCTCGGCCATGTAATCTTTTCTGACCAGACACATTACAGTATTAAGTTACAAAGTATTACAATTCCTATGGAATACATTATTTAACACATTAGAAAATTAGCGACATTGCCTAGTAGTACACATGAGTGTAAAAATGTATAAAAGCACAATATACCTCTTCGCAGCAATTCTGGACATGTTTGGATTGCACACTCTACTTTGGCATTTTCAAAGTAAGTTTCTGCACTGTGGATTTCTTGTTCAACAGGTGCATTATTACCCTAAGAAGAATGAGAAATATAAATAAAATCTGGAGTTCAAATAAAATATATGGTCTGTTATAAACTTGTCTTTCCTGGAAAGGTTTTAGAAATAATTCTAGTTAACTGGCTGTGGGGTAATGATGTTATATACCCAAACTTTTCTCTATGATGGATAAAGATTTGAAAATTTAAAAATGAAACATAAATATATTAATATTCTAAGACTTGGTATGAGTAGAAGTTGGCTAAGAAACTAAAATGCCATGACCATGTCTTACAACATTACCCTGTCTGATACTTTGATATCTACTTGTCCTTTCTTTTGTTCTATAACCTGTAAAATGGGGGAAAATAGCACTAACAAAATAACATGATTAAACATAAATTCTCCTACAGGATGAGGCTTTTATTCATCTGAAATTTACTGGGCACCTACTACACATCAGCTAACAAGAGCAGCCCTACAATGGTTTAAAAGAAAAAAAAAATTCCAGTCTTCACTCTTAGGTATAAAAGAGCTAGTAGAAGAAAATCAGCATGAACAAATAAATGTAATGCAATATGAAAAGTGCTACAGAGTTACAAAGAAAGTCTTTTGGCAGTCTAAATGGGGAAATGCTTTGCTGGGGGAAATCAGGAAAAGGTTGAAATCCTCATATTTGAGCTACATGTTAATTAATGTGTATTATGTGGTTTGTAAAGAATACTAGGTAAAGCAGGTTAGAAACTGAGGAGGAAAAAACAGTCCAGCAAGAGATAAACAGTGCAAGCATATGCAATGGTTAAAGAGAATGGTGCAATTAAAATATTTACGGGTCACTTAGTGTATTTAAGTGTTTTGTGTTCATTTTCACATTTAATCCTCATAGCAACTTTATGGGCTAGGTATTATTATTATCCCCATCTTACATATAAAGAAACATTTAAGTAGTTTTCTCAAGGTCAAAAAATTAAGTGAAAGAGCAAACACCTGTGAAGCCAAATTTATCCTATCTCCATAGTCCATCTCACTATAATGCCTCTGAGAACTGAGGAGAGATAAGGAGGCCTTGAACTCTGGCTTTATTAGTGAGACTGAAAGGACACAAATAATTAAAAAGCTACATCAGAGATGGAAGCAATGTAATTTTGTCACTCTATATGGAGATATGGGAGAGAGGGGAGCCAAGTTTGGCAGAATTCTAATCTTGGGACAGTGGGAGAATGACTAAGTCACTTATGTTACTGATAACAAGGGAATGAGGACAGGTTTTCAGAGGGGTGGAAAAACCCCTAAGTATTAGACATATAAAATCTAGGGTATTTTAAAGCAATAATGATGTTTGGCAGGCAGACAGAAAAGTGTCGAGAGGTCAACTGTCTCCAAATGTTAGGTTACCTATATAAGCCACAGTAATTGTGAGGGGCTGTTCCTTAGTATTATGGCTTCGATCAAACAGCCTGAAACTTCGCAGAAATTCAAAAAATGATGAGGATCAGGAGTTTGGCAGACACTCTGAATTGCATGTAACTTTCCATTTAGGTGAGCAACAATGCAATACCAGTTTGTTTATTGTTTTAATTTTTTTTTTTTTAAAGTAAGCTCTATGCCAAACATGGGACTTGCGTTCACAGATGCCCAGATCAAGAGTTGAATGCTTTATCGACTGAGCCAGCCAGTTGCCCCTGCAATACCAGTTTAAAAATGCATTAAAAAAGAAAAAAAAAAACCTCAGAAGTTGATTTTTCTAAGTCTATCTTTTTTAGTTTACTGTATCTCAAGAATTTCAGAGTTCTCAGGCATTTAAGTTTTAAATGCCTAGGAGTGTAAATCTAGTTGGAATTTGCTCCACAAAAAAATTATTTATAAAAGTGAAAAACGGAATCTGTATTTCTAGTAATATAGAAATAACTAAATTATATTTGAATAAGCAGTTATTACACAATGTATTTTTGAAGATTTACTTAAGAAATTGTAATCTAATTTTTCTATTTTTGTTTCCTAAGAAAGAGCGAGCAGGGAAGGGGCAGACAAGGAGAGAGAATCTTAAGTAGGCTCCACACTGAGCATGGGGCTTGATCTCATGACCTGATCTGAAATCAAGAGTCACATGCTCAGCTGACTGAGCCACCCAAGCGACCCCAAAGAGACTGTAATCTAAAGTAAAATTGTATAGCCAACATTATGTATAGAACAGTGCCAAGTTTTTAAAAACTATATATGTTGTTTCTGAGAATGTTGGAATTAAGTAGGTATTTTTAAAAACTTTTTCAATTCAAGTAACATGCTCACAGTTATCAGAAATTAATATAGTGTTAATAATTAGAAAAACAGAATAAAGGATATTAACAATTTACCTGAAATTCATTCACATATTGTGCCATCACAAACTCGTGTCTTTCACTTGATAAAGGTTCTGCTAGAACATCAGGTAAAGTTTTATGAACCTGGCTTTTCTTCTGTGACACAGTCCCATTGAGGTGACAATCAAAACCTATGTTCCCAGGAAGCTGGAATCTCTGATCCTGAGGTCCAAATGGGCCCATAGTTTCATCAGGCCATACTGTTCGAGAGCCTGAAGAGGAACAACAAAATGAATCCATTTTCTCAAGTGCACTGGTGGACTGAAAGAATACTCTTCTTCCAATTAGGTATTTTTTATAAAACCAATAGATCTTTGGAATTTGCTTTCCTGTGTGAATATAAATTAGTTCTGTGTTGTTTTCAGCTCATATGCAAGTCAATTCGAAGGAGAAGGATTTAATAAAGTACAGTAATCCATACTATGTAATACCTAATAGCCAATAAAAAGAATGTAGTAAATCTTGGAAGGAGTCCGGGAAGACAGCAGAGGAGGATCCTAAGCTCACCCCCTAACACAGAAACACCTAGGTTAACAGCCATATCAGTGCAACTAAACCAGGAAATAAGCCAAACACTGGCAGAATAGACTGCACAATTAATCATAGAGAAGAGGCCAATCAGGGTAGAACGGGCACAGATGCAGCTGGAAACCATACTACTCTGAGAACTAACCCTAAAGAGGAGAGACAAACACAGAGAAGGGAGAGGAAGAGACCCCATACCAGACATGGGGGACCCACACTGAGAAGACAAGTCCCCATAACACCTGGCTTTGAAACTCAGTGGGGCTTAACTTTAAGAGTTTTTATAGTTAGTGGGTTGAGCTCTGGGAGAGCCAGAGGGTGATAGGAAACTGAGTTCCCACCCTTAAATAGAGAATGTAACAAACAATCCCACTTACAGGCAGCATAGAACCAGCAGTTTGAAAAGTGCCTGAGGTACACATGAAGGAGATTTTTTTTTTAAACTAATCTCAACCTGTATTGAAGTGTTGGAAAAACAAGGATCTGTAGGAAACTTCTCTGAGAACACAAGAGCTGGCAGGTGCAATTCCTCTCACTCCCACTGCAGCCTAGATACCCAGACATTTGTAGGAACCAATGTAAACACTCTCCACATAGCCTGCTAACACCGCGTGCTCACCCCTGCATTGCTTTAATCCATTCAACCAGCTCCACTGGGCAAGAGTGCCTGCAACACAGCTCTGGCAAGGTCTCTCATCCTGTAAGCAGCCCTGACAGTGACCATCATCACTCCAAAGTGATTCTTGCCATGGCGAGTGGAGAAGATGACTACACACACTAGTCTGACAGACATTTCATCTGTTGGTCACACCAACCAAAAGAGCCTCTCAAACAAAACAGAAAGTACCCTGCACTTCTGTGCAGCCCCTGCAAATGGGCTGAAAGTAGGCATCTGGACTGATCACTGATGCTGCCAACTACAAGCCCTTTCCTGCCCCAAACAGGCTCTGAACTGGACAGGGACCAAACCCTGCCCACACAAGCAAAATGGACATTTGCAGCCAAATGGATTGAAGGCAAATGCAGCTGAGCCACAAGAGTATGGTACACCAAACCCACATAAAAGACAACCTTAAAATGCCCAGTTCTGGAGAAGAGGGGGCATTGTGCTACAAGGCACCACAAGATCTCTTCTTCATAAGGCCATTACTTTCAAGATCAAGAGAGATGTATCTTACTTTCCAAATATATAGGAACACACACAGAAATGAAGAAACAGAGGAATATGTCCCAAATGAAAGAACAGGATGATACCAAGCAAAGAACTAAATGAAATGGAGATAAAAAATATGCCTGCTAAAGATTTCAAATGCTCATAAATATACTTACTGGATTCGAGAAAAGAGTGTAGCATCTCATTGAGACCTTCAACAAAGAGACAGAAAATATAAAAAGAACCAGTCAGAGATTGACTCTACAACTGAAATAAAAAACACACTATGGGGAATGAATAGCATTGTTGAAGAGGAAGAAGAATGGATCAGTGACTGGAAAGACAAGGTAACAGCAACCACACTGAACAGATTAAAAAAAATAAAAAAAATGAAGAAACTATGGGAACTCAATGACACCATCAAGTATAACAACAGCTGTATTAACAGAGATCCTGGAAGGAGAAGAGAAAAGGGAATGGAAAATTTATTTGAAGAAATAATGGCTTAAAATTTCACAAGTGTGGGGAAGAAAACAGAAATTTAGATCCAGCAGCATAGAGAACACCCCTAGCAAAATCAACTGAAGGAGGTCCACAACATCACATATAGTAATTAAAATGTAAAAAGGAGTGATAAAGAGAATTTTTAAACCTCCTAAGAAAATAGTTACATACAAGGGAAATCTCATAAGGATATCAGCTGATTTCCAAGCAGAAACACTGCAGGCCAGAAAGGAATGGCATGATATTTAAAAGGAATTCTCTGAGTGGAAAGAAAAGGCCATAACACAGAATAAGAAAATTAGGAAAAAATCTTACAGGTAAATACAAACAATAAAAGTAGTAGATTAATCACTTATAAAACGAGTATGGAGGTTAAAACACAAAAGTAGTATCAATTATATCTATAAAAATCAGTCGCTAAAATCAGAAATAAAAATATGTCAAGTATGACATCACATACATAAAATGTGGGGGTGGGTAAAAACTTCATGCTTTTAGAATGGGTTCAAACATAAGTGACTGTCAATTTAATGTAGATTGCTTACATATAAGATGTTCTATGTGAACCTAATGGTAACCACAAATCAAACACCTATAATAGATGCGCAAAAAATAAAGAAATCCAAGCATATCACTAAAGAAAGCCAAAAACCGTAAGAGAGAAAGAGAAGGCAACAGAGAACTACAAAAACAACCAAAAACAATTAACAAAATGGTAATAAGTACATACTAATAATTACTTTCAATGTAAATGGACTAAATGTTCCAATCAAAACAGTAAGATGGGTGAGTGAATGGATGAAAGAGCAAGATCCACGTAAATGCTGTGTGAAAAGACTCACTAAAGACACAGGCAGATTGAAAGTGAAGGGGTGGAAAAACATTACCATGCAAATGGAAGTGAAAAGAAAGCTGGGGAAGCAATAGTTCTTTCAGAAAAAAAAATAGAATTTAAAAGAAAGACTGTAGGGGCGCCTGGGTGGCGCAGTCGGTTAAGCGTCCGACTTCAGCCAGGTCACGATCGATCTCGTGGTCCGTGAGTTCAATCCCCGCGTCGGGCTCTGGGCTGATGGCTCAGAGCCTGGAGCCTGTTTCCGATTTTGTGTCTCCCTCTGTCTCTGCCCCTACCCCATTCATGCTCTGTCTCTCTCTGTCCCAAAAATAAATAAAAAACGTTGAAAAAAAAAAATTAAAAAAAAAAAAAAAGAAAGACTGTAAAGAGACAAAGAAGGGTACTACAAAGGGAAGAGTCCAACAAGAGGATGTAACAATTGTAAATATTTTTGCAGCCAACATGAAAGCACCTACATATATAAAACAAGTATTAACAAAAAGAAGGTGACAGCAATACATTAATAGAAGACTTTAATACCCCACTTACATCAATGGATAGATCATCCAGAAAAATCACCAAAGAACTAATGGCTTTGAGTGACACACTGGGCCAGACGGACCTAACCTACATTCAGAACATCCAATCAAAAATAACAGAATACACATTCTTTTCAGATGCACATGGAATATTCTCAAAAGAGGTTACATTACAAAACAAGTCTCAGTAAGTTCAAAATCACTGAAATCACATAATGCATCTTTTCTCATTGCAACACTGAAACTACAAATCAAGGTTAAAAAAAATTGGAAAGAATACAAATACATGGAAGCTAAATAAAATGCTACTACACAATGAATATGTCAACCAAGAAATCAAAGAGGAAATAAATACATGCAAACAAATAAAAATGAAAACACAATGGTCCAAAATCTTGAGATTCCTCAAAAACCTGTTCTAAGAGGGAAGAAGATACAGCAATACAGGCCCACCTAAAGAAGCAAGGAAAATCTCAAACAGCCTAACCATACACCTAATGGAGCTAGAAAAAGGAGAGCAAACAAAGCCAAGGAAAGGAAATAATGTAGAGCAAAAATACATAAAATGAAGACTAAAAAAACAATACATCAATGAAACCAGGAGCTGGTTCTTTGAAAAGAACAACAAAACTGATAAACCTTCAGTCAGACTCATTAAAGAAAGAAGACTCAAATAAAATCAGAAATGAAGGAGAAATAATGACACCACAGAAACACAATGGATTATAAGAGAGTATTAGGAAAAATAATATGCCAACAATTTGGACAACCTACAAGAAACGAATAAATTCTTAAAAACACAATAACCTTCCAAAATTGAATCAGGAATAGAAAATATAAACAGACTGGTTACTAGCAATGACACTGAATCAGCAACCAAAAAATTTGCTTTGTTCGTTTCTTACATTCCACATGAGTGAAATCATATGGTATTTGTCTTTCTCTGACTTACTTCACTTAGCAAATGCTATCTCCACCCATGTCACTGCAAATGGCAAGATTTCATTCTTTTTTAAGGCTGTGGAGTATTCGATTGCATATATATATATATATATATATGTACATATACATACACACCACATCTTCCTTATCCATTTATCAGTTAACAGTACTTGGGCTGTTTCCATAATTTGGTTATTGTAGATAATGCTATAAACATTGGGGTGCATGTATCACTTTTAATTAGTATGTTTGGATTGTTTAGGTAAACATCTAGATGTGCAATTGCTGGATCACATAAGTGTGTATATATACACACACACACCAGCAATTGCACATCATATATACATATACACACATATATATACACAATATATGTATGTGTGTATATGGTTTATACACACAGAAATCTGTTACATTTCTATATACTAATAAAAGGAGAGAGAGAAATTAAGAAAACAATCCCATTTATAATAGCACCAAAAAGAATTAAATACCTGGGAATAAACTTAACCGAGAGGTAAAAGACTCATACTCTGAAAACTGTAAAACATTGATAAAAGAACTGAAGATTCCACAAATTGAAAGATATGTGATGCACATGGATTTGGAGAACCAATATTGTTAAAAATGTCCATATTATCTAAAGCAATCTACAGATTTAACGCAACTCCTACCAAAATTACCAACAGAAGTTTCACAGAACAAGAACAAATAATCCTAAAATTTGTATGGGACCACAAAAAACCCTTGACAGCCAAAGCAATTGTGAAAAAGAACAAAACTGAAGGTACCACAATCCCAGACTTTAAGATATACCACAAAGTCAGTAATCAAAGCAGTATGGCACTGGCACAAAAACAGTCACATTGATCAATGCAACAGAATAGAGAGTCCAGAAATAAATTCACACTTTTATGGTCAATTAATTTACAACAGAGGCAACAATTTGTAACGGGAAAAAGATAGTCTTCAACAAATAGTGTTGGGAAAATTGGTTAGCTGCATGCAAAAGAAATGAAACTGGACCACTTTCTTATATACAAAAATACTCTCAAAATGGATTAAAGGTCTCAATGTGAGAGCTGAAACCATAAAACTCCTAGAAGAAAACAGGCAGGAAAAAAAAAAAAAACAGGCAGTAATTGCTTTGACATCAGCTACAGAAACATTTTTCTAGATATCCTTTGTCAAGGGAAACAAAAGTAAAATTAAACTATTGGGACTCTATCAAAATAAAAAGCTTTTTTGCACAGTGAAGAAAACTATCAACAAAAGGACTACAAATCAAAAAGGCAGCATACTGAATGGGAGAAGACATTTGCAAATAATGTTTCTGATAAGAGAATAATAATATACAACATATATAAAGAACTTACATAATTTAACATCAAACACCTGCCTCCCCCCACCCTGCCCTGCCAAATCAAATTAAAACACGGAGAGAACAGACATTTTCTCCAAAGACAATGGTCAAAAGACACATGAAAAGATCTGAACATCACTAATCATCAAGGAAATGCAAACCAAAAACCACAATGAGATATCACATTACATCTGTCAGAATGGCTAACATAAAAACTGAAGAAATAATAAATTTGGTGAGGATGTGGAGAAAAAGGTACACTTGTGAAAGATGCACTGTTGGTGGTAATGCAAGCTGGTGCAGTCACTGTGGAAAACAGTATGGAATTTCCTCAAAAAATAAACAAAATTACCATATGATTGGTGCAGTCACTGTGGAAAACAGTATGGAATTTCCTCAAAAAATAAAAAACAAAATTACCATATGATTCAGTAATTCCAGTACTGGGTATTTAACCAAAGAAAACAAAAACACTAATTCGAAAAGATACATACTCCCCTATGCTTACTGAAGCATTAGTTACAATAGCCAAGATATGGAAGCAACTCAGTGTCCATCAACAGATGAATGGGTAAGAGGATGTGGTGTATATATACACAATGGGATATTACTTCACAGTAAAAAAGAATGAGATCTCGCCGTCTGCAACATATGGATGGATGCAGTGGGTATAATAATAAACAACATAAGTCAAAGACAAATATTGTATGATTTCACTCTTATGTGGAATTTAAAAAACAAAACAACAAATAAGGGAAAAAAGAGACTGAATCTTAAATATAGAAAACTGGTGGTTGCCAGAGGGAAGGTGGTTGGGAGGGAAGGGTGAAATAGGTGAAGGGAATTAAGAGTACACTTATGTGATGAACAGGGAATAATGTACAGAAAACCAAATTTTTTGGTTTAAATCATATTGTACACCTGATACTAATATAACATTGTATATTAATTATATTTGAATTAAAAAAATACAATAAATGCTTACTGATATTGAACAAAGTCTAGGACACATTAAAAGAAAAAGGTAAGTCA